GTTATATTTTCAGTGAACACATACTATACTTCCTGACAGATTAAAATCTGATTAAATACTTAATTGTTGAACTCTTACATGTCTGTAATTTCTGAATCATTATGATTAGAAAATAAAATATTAAACATATCAAAAGTTGTATAAAGAAATATTTACCTATATGTTTACTATAGCTCATAATATCCTAGGTAGTAAAGTGAAGTCTTTGTTTGAAAGATTATTGCTCTGATGTAATTATAATATACATTTGAATATACATGCTTCCTCGATATAGTGTTCTTAAATATACATATAACTATATGTATGTGAATACATATGCAAATTCACATCTTTTGTCTTTACATGTGTGAAAGTTATAATAATTAAATTCCTTAAACTCTAATATGTTCATGTATATTCATTATAATTGGCAATTTAAATGCTATAATTTTAAGTATCTGTTTAATTTTGTCTATGGTGGTACAAAAATTAAAAAGCATATCAGAAATATTATTGGTTAATTTCAAATGTTTAAAGTACACTTAATAATTGATTTTTATTTAAATTTAAAGAAACACTTTGTCTATGTAGACTATTCAATGTAATTTTTCAGTTTAAATTCAAGTATGATTACTTTAAAATTAATTAATAGATAATGGCAGATTATCATTTATTCAAAGTGATAGAATGATAAATAAGTTTTAATATCTATTTTCTTCTTTACATAATAATCATACCTGAAAACAAACAAACAAAAACATTTGGAGAAGTGGCTTCAAAATCTACAGGATTCCATCCAAATTCAAAGAAAGAATATTCACTTGCATCATTTTGGAAAAAATGTGGCATTTAAATCAGGCTGGTTTCCGGGATTTAGCTCAGTGGTCCTGCCGCCTGCCTCACAAACACAAGGACCGGAATTCAATCCCTGGTACCAAAAAAAAAAAAAAAAAAAAAAAAAAAAAAAATCAAGCTGAAAAGTAAGTAAACTTCCGCACAATAACAAGGACTGAGGGATGATATTAAAACAGGGAGGAGGGAAAGCACTTGTGTTCTAGGAATGATGAATGAGTCAGATTGGCTGCATCATTTAACATATATTGAGAGAAAGTGAGAAAATACTAGAATATATAGCTCATAGAGGAAGTTGAATAATCAGAACGCATTTTAAAACATTATTGGCTATAATAGTGGTTAAGAATATCTGAGTTTTAGAATTTCATGAGTATTTACTTGTGTTAGGATTACTGGTCTCAAAGCTATTAGAAAGAACTGGAGAAGAAATTTGCTAAAAGTAAACAAGTTAACAAAATGTCTAAGAGATGGATGTGAGGAGAAGGCGTCCCCTGATGTCATGGTTTGGAACAAAGAAGCATGAAGCACGGAAGACTAAACTACGCTGACTTTGGGAATGAAGACCTGCTGTCCACGAAAATACAAATCAAAAAAATCACTCCCCTGAGAAGCGGCTGCCAATGGGGAGTACACAGTACACGTTTTAACCTGAACTGCAATAAAGCATTGCTTAATGGTTGAAAATAGCCACAGGCAAGGAAGCAGGCACAACATGTATAACTGTAGGACAAGGGCTTAAGAAGTAAATTCTTTTTTCCACATTTTGTTTTCTGTCTGGTAACTAAAAGGAAAAGAAACTCAAAACCTCAAGGGTTGTGTTGATTAAAATTGGGAAAGGGTGCTCTTCATAATTCACTAGATGAATGAGTATCTTCTAAATACTTCAATTACTATGTCTTTGAACCTGTAAGACTTGAGTATGTTACAGTTAGCCTTAGTCTATCTATTAGATTTGAGACCACACACAACTCTAAATATAGCTTTGTTTCAGAAAGAAACAAGAAAATTTCCTTTTTATTTGACAACAAAAGGAATCAAAGCTCATGGGAAATATGTTGACTCAGGCCCTGGGACAGAATTTGTCCAAAATGAGCCTAGAATAACTTACAGTAGCAGAAAGTAAAGGAGTTCTCTTACCAAAAAACAAACAAACAAACAAAACAAAACAAACAAAAAAAAAAACAAAGAGAGAAAGAAAGAAAAAGGGAGTTCTCAACACACACCCCCAGTGTATATGTGTCTCTTTCTGTCTCTGTTTTTCTAAGAATAGTGAAGGAGCACTAAAACAAAATGAAAGAGTTTTGCTCAAACTGCAATCATTTCATCAGCAAGGTAAGGACTGAAAAGTAAAACATTTATGAGTAAATAAATGACTACAACGACAAATCTCTCAGGTAGCCAAATTCTATAACAATATAGGTAGGTACTCCAGCCACACAGAGGTGGAAGATAATTTTGTACTTAAATGTGTGCTTCACATATTAACTTACTTCCAAAGCGTGAGTGATGGATAGACAGAAAAAACTAATTGATGATGGAAAAAATGAACAAACACTATAACATCCAGTTGATAATATAAATATCAATTGTTAAATAAAATTGATAAGATGTATCCTTGATGAGATGGAATGAAATTACACTTTTAAAAAATTCATGTTACCAGTCTACTAAGAAATAAAACACAAATTCAATACCAAGTGAGGTCAAGTCTATAAAATATCAAACTAGTATGTCTCTTAAACTGTCAATATCACAAAATATTAGAGAAAAATAATCCAATAGCAGGGAATTTAGCTCAGTGGTTCCACCCACCATCTGCCAAACAAGTGCAAGGACCTGAGTTCTATCCTCAATACCACACACACACACACACACACACACACACACACACACACACACAAAGGAGTCTAGAAAAGTGGATAACATAACCATAAGGTATGGTGTGGCACAATATTTTATGAAAACGAGCTTCAGGGGAGTAACTGGGCTGGAATCATGAAACAGAAAAAGGACACTAGGAAGAAAAGTGATGGAAATTGAATGAATAATGGTGCAAATTTAACAATATATTAATATTTAATAATGTAACAGGTGGTATTTAAGATATGAATATGTAACTGGATAAATTGGGGTAGCATATGTAAGAACTCCACACATTTTCTGTAAATTTGAAACCATTCTGAAAATTTTATTAATAGTAATAATAATTATGGAAAAATCAGCTACAGAACAGTCAGCAATACAAAGAATTTACAAGAGCATTTATCTAAAAACAATAAGAACTGATCGACATATTTACTTCATCATCATGACAGATTCTTTGAAGACAACACTCTAGCAATCCTTCATGTTTCTATACATCTTTTACATGAGATAATTTCCCTCTTTCTTTGTGGGCTATTTTTTCAAACCTATTTGTTTAGAAAACCTGGAATATATAACACATTTCAAGAACAAACAACCTTTCAGGGTAATATTAAAGGCATGTTTGTTTCCTTCTAATTACAAAAGATACAGATTCCCTCAGCTCGTGTGTTCTCTGATATAGCACATTTTATTAACTATGCACATACACGACATGTGACCTTACAGTTTCCTCATTGGATTACACTGGATCCACTGGAATAATCCAGGATAATCTTCTCACCTCAAAATTCTCTCATCAGCAAAGCTCCTTCGAGGAACATATTATATTAACAGTTTTTTTAATGTGGTAAATATTTTGGAGAGCTATTATATGATCTATCAAATAAATAATAATAATGACAAACTAGGAAAAAGAAGGAAAGATAGACAAAGGAGGAAAGATTGGCTTCACAAAGGTTACTATTTTTGTTAGACTCCAGAGTTGTAATGATTTTCAGTTCTAATAGAAAATGATAGACCCACATTTTTCATAACTTTGCAAAATGGTTAAAATATTTGTTAATCCTAACATAACACTAATAAGGAAGTGTTTATAATATTGTTAAATTTGACTCACATTTGGTTAATATTTACTGAGAAAAAAAGCTTGTTTTATATCATGCATTAGAGGATCAAATTACAAAAATTCTTTAAATCGTCTAAGAATATACATTATCTGGAATGATAAAGAATCCACAGATATAGAAGACATCACCTTAAGATTCAAAAAGAAAGGAATCAGTGTATGTATTCAATTTATTTTGCTTAAGAAGATAATTTTTTCAATGCATTTATGTCCTTGGGAAATTCTCTAAAACTTGTGTGTTCTTTCTCTTTTTTTACCTTTTTTGTCCATTTTAATCAATCCTGTTTCATAAATTCCCATCTGATGATGGCAAAATAAAATGCTATGCTAGGCTGCTTCTTAGTAATAAAAAAATGTTATACTATTCTATTGAAAGTAAATGAAATGAGACAAAAGAAGAATAAAATTGAGTAAATCAACAGAATTTGGAAAAAAATATTGTGCACAAATAACCATTACAGGAAGTGAACAATGAAATAAATGAAATAAAATTAAATCAGCATTGATAGTCAGTAGTAAGTAAATATGAATGTTGACAAAATATTTTGTGAAAATTAAAATTTTTGCATATGTAAACCTGAAATATATTATAAACATTGTTGATAAGTTATGAAAAGAAAGCAATAGTTTTATTCTAATGTTAAATTTTTACAAATTTTTCAGACTATTGAAAAGGCATTTGTATCTCTCAGCAAATGTATCTTTCTCTTTGTCTTTGCACACTGACTTCTCTGTTTCTATGATTAATTTTATCTTGTCACAAAAAATAAAATTGCAGTATCTTTATTCTTGATTGTATTTTTCCATCCACCTATATTCTTAGTTATAGCCTTCTTTACATCATTACACTTTATGCATTTTATAACGTTTGTAACTCTCTAACATTGATGTATGGATAATATGTTAACTCCTTATTGTTACAGTCTCATCACAGTATCCAGCACAGAATAGGAACTCAAAACAATATTATTAAATCATAAATATACACAATTCAGAGTTGGTTATAGTCAGTGAATATTTTAATAAATCTACAGAAAAAAACCCCTCAGACATGTCTGCTAATAGAGTTATTACAAGGGCATGTGGATGTATTAATAGTCTGCACAGTAATAGAACAATAAGAAGATACATATATGATCTTATAAAGGGATTTATTAGATAGACTTACAGGATCAGAAGCAAAGAGTCATGTAGTTATCCACAGAATCACAGAGAGAAGAATGCAGAATAAACTGCGAACTTGCAAAGCGGGGGATCCAGTAGCATTGGATTGAAGATCCGGAAGTTCAATGTACAGGCACTAGTGAAATGCTGTGTCAGAGGGTGAAAAGTCTATACGTAGAGGCTGAGAAGTCTGTGCTGGCATGCCTGAAAAGATGGAGACCAGTGTCCAAAGGCAATCTTGACCACTAGAGCTCAGCCAAATATGGAATACTTCTTTCTCTTTAAATGACATCTAAAGGCTACAAGCCTGTTGATTGATCCCACCCAGAGTTGGAGTGGCTGTTCACTCATTGATTGGCTGGCGTATATGTCAATCACAAGGACACCCTGGCAACTATTAATCTGCTAGCCGGTTCTTGCTCAAGATGACATATCACAATTAACAATCACAGTGGGATATATTACTATGTTTTGGTCCTAAGTTAGCTACTAATATTCAAAAGATTACCAAATTTTCAACTATATCTTGATTTCAATTATTTTGAACATTCACTTGCATTTCATGACAATAAATTTACTGAGAAATGCAAAAATTTTCTGAAACAAATTTCAGGATATCAATACATAATTCAAATAAACAGTCTAATCTTTTGTTTGGGATAGTTAATTACTCTGTTAATAATTTAAATAAAAATTTATCTAATTTACTTGTCAAAACAATTTGGAATACTCTTTATTATTTCCATTTTGCAAATGAAAACATACACACACAGAGCCTTACATTTAGAAGTGGCAGAATTAGAATTCAATCCTGTCTTCAGAGTTCAAAGTTATGCCTTGTCATTCCACAAGTTCATGGTATCTTTCTTCATCAAACCTTTTACGGAGAGTTGGGATACAACTGGAATATTCATTTTCTATACTGATATATTTGATTGATAGTTTATAAACTTGCCAAATATTATGTGTTATAATTCCCCTGTTTCATTTTTCATGGTTTCAGTTACCAGTAGTCATCTTTAGTTTGAACATATTAAGAGGAACACTTCCAGAAATGAACAACTCGTAATTGTAACAACTACTCTGAGAAGCATAATGAAATTTCAGGACAGTTTATTCAATCTATCTTTGCTCATATACATCCCATCATCCTGTCCGGGGCATGGGTTATCTCTTCGTCCAGGGTATCCATCCTGCATGTGCTATACTTGACGGATACTCTAGTCACTTACTGGCCACCCCAGTTATCACTTCTGTTAGAGTATCACAGCGCTTGTGTTGAAGAAGAAAGAGATTTAGCATCAATTCTGTTGATTATATTAACATGAAGTAAAACAATTAGCAAGTAGTGAGTGTTGATACTTAGAATATTTGTTATAAATTAATGTTTCATTATAAGGTTATGCATTTTAAAAATAACAGCTGTTCAACAAATTTTCCCAACTAACAACTTGTTTCTTAAAAACTTAAAACAAGCACTTGTGAGCTAATATGTTAGCTCGGATATACTATAGTCAAATTCTTACGCAGAAGAAAATCAAGCTTTACTTGTATTATTGAAAGACATTGATGTTCTGCTTTTGAATTATCAAGACCTGGAGAAAAGTATCTCATGATTTGTTTTAGAAATTATCAGTAGATGGAGCTGGTATGTGTAGCAAGTCCACAACCCTACTTTTTTAACCAAGATGAAGTAACAATAACTGTATTTATTCCCCTGATTTGAAAAATTTAAAACCTAAATATAATATGATAATGATATCTCTTAAAGCATTAGACAGCAGGCAATGAAAGACAGTGATATGTAAGAAAAAGAAAAAAAAACACAATTAACGGAATCATGCAATTTTTACTGCATGGAAACCTCAATGAATTTTTTTCAGGTCATGAAATAGGGAATTCAAACAGAGTTTGGTCTTTCTTTTAATAGAAGATAGAGTTACGAGTTTATAAGCAAATCCAAACAGCTTAATTTTACAGAACAGAGGTAAGTGGGCTGCACATGAGAGAGAACTTTGGAGAAGTGCACAGTGTTTTTCTAAAGTATTCATTGAATAATCAGTAATCATCAGTGCATTTATGGGGACGTTATTCACAGTCAGAAAAGAATCAGTTGAGAGGACAATGCGGAGTAGTGCCCACTACTCTCACCAGTCCAGAGAAAGAATCATTTCTCATTAGCTAGAGTGGGAACCTCATAACTCACGGAAAAATCATTACACTGAGAATTCTTGCCTCTGGAGTGAGAAAAAATTAGACTACATGCTGTTTAAAATAAAACACCCAAAGGAATAAAGTTGATTATAAGTAACCAGGTTTCCCATGACAAAGCTTCAAAATGTTTACAGGTATATAAAAGAGTCCAGAACCTAACAAGGTAAAACACCATCAAAATTATCAGGCAAAAAGAGATAGGAAATTACAATCCAGGTGATGATGAAAAGTAAAAATCAATCTATATGTTCCACAACCATTACAGATGGTAGAAGTAACAGACAAGCTTGTTATGACTGTATTCTATGTGGGGGAGAATCTACATAAAATAAGTAAAATGCTTAGAGATTTAAAAATATGAGCAAGGGACCTAAATAAAACAAGTAGAAATAAAAACTAAAATGTTAGTGATATAAAATACGCAATATGGAATCAACATAATGTTAGATATTTCTGGAAAAAGGAAACAATCAACCTAAAATAACCAAAGCTCTCTGAAATGAAATTAGAAAAAAAAAAACTTAAAAAATTAGAGGTGTTGGTGAACTGCGCACAAAATGAAGACATTTACATCCATATATTTATCTATATCTGCATTTATCTCTCTATATGTACATATAAATATCACCCATATCTATATATATCTATATCTATATCATTATCTATAGGGAGAGGGAGAAGGAGAGAAAGTTATCAGAAAAGGTCATAAAAATTTGAAGAAATTATGGTTGAAATTGTTTTCAAATTTGATGTTAATTTTAAAAAAGATCCAAAAATTCCATGAATTCCAAGCACAAGAAATCACAGGACTGCACAAAGTCATGAATTAACCAAATTCTTGAAAAAAGTAATAGAGAAAAAAATATTAAAAGTACTTAGAGGAAAGGTCATGTAATTTGCTGAGAAATAAAAGAAAAGAACAATTATCTTTTAAAATAACACAAACCAAATGATATTAGAGCAACAACACTAAAGCATGAAAGGAAAAAGGAAAGTACACTTCCAAACTACATCATTTTCTATTAAAAATAATTCTTAAAAATAGAATAAAACTATTATATACACAAAACTTGGGATCTGCTTAAGCCATTACTACACAACTTATAAGAAATATTACAGGGCATCCTTTAGGTATAAGGAAATTTGTATCATATGGAAATATGGTTTTTCCACAAAACAGTGTCTTCATGGGCAATGGAATGTACCACAGCATTCCTCGTCAGGAATACTTTTAATTTTGTTTTCAATAATGAAAAAGTCCCTTTAACTTAATTCCATGTGGCATGGTCTACTCTGAGTAGATTTTCCAGCAACAGTTGAGTGAGAAATTAGAAGCTACAACCTGAAATTCCTTGGCAATATCAACTTTTATTTCCAGACTTTGATAATTTCGTGAACTATCAGCACTGTGATGGTTTCTAATTCTTACTATTGCTGTGGAATCCATGACAGTTCAAGTAAAATGGCAAAACTTCAAGTAGGTGAGACACAGGAAGTATCTCCACACAAGAATTTCTGTTAAAGTCAGTTCTTTAGTTGAGTTAAAAGGTATAGGATTATATTATTTAAAGAAGTAAATGTAAAAATACATTAATAAGTTATAGCTTTTCCTAAAAAAACAGAAAATGTAGAGACACAATATTATCCATAATTTACAAATGTGTCTTTTATCAAAAAATTGAAACTTCTCTTTTACTTTATATCAAATGGCTAATTTAATTAGAAATATGCTAAGCAAAAATTAGAAGATGAATAAATTAAAGAATATCACAAGGAAACCATTAATAAAATAGTTGAGATATTTGCTTTTTGAGAAAAATATTGCCATTAAAAAAAGCTAAAATAACTAAAATTATGCAGTAGCATTAGAGAAACTGAAGCAAAATGTGGAAGTAGCAAATAAAACTGAGAGGTGGTTTTCAAATTTTATGTAAATTTACTATGAGATGGATGTGAAAGTTTATACTAGTAATATAAAGAATGTTTTTTCATAAGTGCTTAGAACTGATCATAACTTTAGAAAAAGAAGGTATAGCTTCTTATTTCACATTATCAGTTATACAATTTGAACCTTAATTACACTTCTAGTTTTTCACACCAGAGAAACTATTAGGTATTTACACATAATTGATAATACAAAATAGGAAGAAAGGGCTAAAGGAGTAGAGGGAGTGGGAAGGGTAGGTGGAAGGAAAGAAGGGAAAAGAAAAAATATGAGAAAAAGGAAAAAATATAAACAAAGTCTTTGTAAATAGGGAAGGGTGGAGATGGTGAAGGGCAGGGGAATGGGGAAAAAATAAGCAAGACACATCATGTAAAGTTACAAGATCCCAGAGTTGAATGTAACTGTACTATATACCTAAAAAATACCAATAAACTTAATGAGAAAAAAAGAAGATATAGCTTCATTCTACCTCATGCACCAAATAAATAGTAGGCTAATTGATAGTTAGATAAATGGGTTTTACCTATAACAATCAGTAAATGAAAAGCTCCAAATTATGCTTTACATTATGTAAAATGAAAGTTATTTATTTTTACTTTTTTGTTTTACCACTAAATATTCCATCATGGCATTTACACTCAACATTTTGCTAATAACCTAGTTTGAGCTCATTTTTAAGTAGACATAATAATAATAAAAATTTAAATTCCTTGAGGTATGCCTTCTACAACTTTAGAATCTGAAAATTTTCCATAACAGAGGTACCCTGTTTCACATTAATTTCCAACATAAAACATCTGGTTTTCATCAAGTGGCTAAGTGGTGATTTGTGAGTTTTGTCAATTCCATTCATCAAGAATCATGAGGGTTATTTTTTGTTTTGTTTTGTTTTGTTGTTTTTTGAAGCTACCCACACTCTTGGAAGGTTGGTGGGAAGCCTGGTGAAAACCTGCCCTGGGCACTGCTGTTTCTGACACATGACTGCACTTTGTTGGCAAGGAAAACATGGGTCAGGAAGACATACTCCAACTGTGGCTGTTATAGGTATCAGAAAGACAACTGAGGAACCCACTAAAGTGATTCAGCAAACAGAACTACCCATAAGAGGAGCAAAAGAAAACAATCTTAAAGGAAAAGGACCAGTTCAGATGCCCACTAAGACTTAAAGCATTATCACAAGAAACAAACCTTGTAGTGAAGATTCTAAGACATTGGATCCAAGAATTCAGAAGTGACTTATTGAGCTACACAACCTTCCCAGTTTTAAATAAATACCGTTAAGCGGAAAAGATTCACTTGTTATTCCACAATGCCAAATATCAAGCAAGATATTTCAGTACAAAGAAAAAGATGCACCTGATTGTTTGCTATAAAATATGCTATGTTAAAAATATAATTTGAGTAATTGTTAAAAGTACTTTCAAAATGTGTATTGTAACCCACAGAAACTTAAGGAGAATCTGCATTATTAGATAAAAGATAGTTTTAAACAATGAAAATATAAAGATATTGTTAATTCTTCCTGTGTTTCTTTTAAAAAATCTTAAGAAACTAAATTACATCTTTTCTTTGCTTCCCTAAGCCAGGCTTTAATTTTCATAATTATTTTATCCTAGATATGAAATACAATGACAGTAGATATCACATCAAAACATTTTACTTTTAATCTAGAACATCACAAAAAGAACTGTAAGGAAGGAAACAAGCTTTGACATTCTTGTCAAGTCAAAATTGTAGGTAATTATTTAAAAGTAGGTCTTCTTTTTGCTTTAAAAATGAAGGAAGAATAGTAGCCATAATTATTCTGTAAGATAAATTCAAAAATAGTACAGTCAATAATTTCTGGGATTACAAGTGATTTTCTCTGTGATGCAACGAGAAACAAACAAAATGGTTTTGTGAAAAATCTAATTTAATATGGTGAACTAAGTATAATTCAACCTCTTATATAATATTGAAATAATGACACTAATTTGAGTTTTGTGCTATGAGGCATCACAAATATTAGTATTTAATAATATATGTGTACAAAATTAAATATATGGTATATTTAAGGATTTTCATAGGTCTCAGCATAGTAAAAAGCATATTTGTGAGGTTTTGTTAATGCTATCAATGTGATTACAACACAACTCAGAACATAATGGTTTCTACCATGCTTCTAATTAGGGACTACTTCATATGAGAGTAAAATTTAAAAACAAATTATTTTACCCTCCTAAGTTATATAGAAACATGCAAAAAAAAATTTAATGTGCTTTACAAGACCCTAGAAAATAATCCATTAGGATGTTTGAAGCAGTTTAAAGGATGACAGATAAAAGCAGGCTTAATAGATCTTAAGAGAAAATAAAAATCTAGAAATAAAGATATACCAAAAAGAAAACCAATAACAATAAATTGTTCTTTGTTTTACTGAAAGCAGAATAGAATTTCTCTAAGTCTAAAGAATGGACATATTGTTTTATGCATATTTATAAGTTCTTGAATAAGATAATATCACAGTTAAGTATGAAACTATATGATTTTATTACATGTATTAATGTTAAAAACTAACCTACATAGTATCTTTTCTGGTACAAAAGTCTATGTAGACATCTGCACATCTCTAGTAGAGGCATCAGCTTCATTTTATAGAGATTGACAATGAGATAATCTTTTGAATATATTAAAATGTATAAAATGCATACATACATATGTATATGGATATGTAATGTATATATAACTTTGAGATTATATAGATTTAGTTTACAAATTTAACAATAATATATCTTCATAGCAAACATATACTAATAAAACTTTTAAAATGTCTAACATGTCTTTGGGATTTAATTTAGACAAATTCTCTTGTTATGGCTTTATGTATATTAACTCATTTAATATTCAAAAGAACTGAATGAATTGTGACACTTTGAATACAAATTTAGTGAGGAAGAAGCCACAATTGCTCCACCTTACATAGCTAATTAGAGGATAGGTGTGATTCACACACAGCAGTTTGGCTCTGCAGCCTGCAAACTTTGCACTAATACTCAGAGGGCTCTAAAATATTGACACAGAGAGTCTTCCTGGCTTACTAAAAAATTCAAAATCATCTTTTCTAGTAACTCATGAGACTAAGACCAACGTATGTCTCATAGTATATTCCAGTGGCAAATAAATAACTAATCTTTATCTGTGGCTTGTTGCTGTTTTAAAGTTAGGATAGATAGATAGATAGATAGATAGATAGATAGATAGATAGATAGATAGATAGATACTAGCTATATATATTAAATAATAAATACATAATATAAATAATATATATTAAAATGTATAAAATGCATACATACATATGTATATGGATATGTAATGTATATATAACTTTGAGATTATATAGATTTAGTTTACAAATTTAACAATAATATATCTTCATAGCAAACATATACTAATAAAACTTTTAAAATGTCTAACATGTCTTTGGGATTTAATTTAGACAAATTCTCTTGTTATGGCTTTATGTATATTAACTCATTTAATATTCAAAAGAACTGAATGAATTGTGACACTTTGAATACAAATTTAGTGAGGAAGAAGCCACAATTGCTCCACCTTACATAGCTAATTAGAGGATAGGTGTGATTCACACACAGCAGTTTGGCTCTGCAGCCTGCAAACTTTGCACTAATACTCAGAGGGCTCTAAAATATTGACACAGAGAGTCTTCCTGGCTTACTAAAAAATTCAAAATCATCTTTTCTAGTAACTCATGAGACTAACACCAACGTATGTCTCATAGTATATTCCAGTGGCAAATAAATAACTAATCTTTATCTGTGGCTTGTTGCTGTTTTAAAGTTAGGATAGATAGATAGATAGATAGATAGATAGATAGATAGATACATAGATACATAGATAGATAGATACTAGCTATATATATTAAATAATAAATACATAATGAATAAATAATAAAGCTATATATAAATTAATGCTATATATGCATTAATGGAATATTTTTTCTTATAAAAATCAAAATGTTTGAATAAAGTATTCTTTCACTTGGTGAAAAATATTGGGTTCACATAATATATAAAAAGATTATTTCCCTAAGTATACTACATGAGGAGATATGATATAATTCTGATAAACTGTAAGAATTTATAAATAGGTACTCTACACTAATGACTGTTTTTCAGTTGACTTGGAATGCTACCCATATATTTTTATCTCCCAATTCCAACTGCTCTAAATTTTAGTCTTCTTTTCTTTCAATTTTTATTATTTTATGAGTACACACTTGCAGTATGCAATGGTGATGTTCCTCGTGGGGAGTTGATATACATAACACATATATATATTTTTTTTTTGGTGTTTTGAGACAGGGTCTCACTATGAGTTGAGACTGACCTGGAACTCACTATGTAGCCCAGGCTGGTCTCGAACTTGCAGTGATCCTCCTGCCTCAGCCTCCCAAGTGCTGGGATTACAGGCGTGCATCACCATGTCCAGCATAACACATCATAATTCCTTTTTTCATCCCCTTTCCTTCTCCTCCCTCTCTCCTTCTTTTCCTTCTTGATCTCCTTGCCTTTTGTAAAAGATCTATTTTCCTGTGTCCTGTTATCTATCTTTTTCTTGCTCTGTATGGACCGAAAATATAAATAAGGATTAAAATATAATAGACAATGGTGAAAAAGGAAGAAACTCAAAATTTCATCTAGATTTAGTTTCACCTTTTCTAGACTTATCCAGCACTATTAATTTCATTATTTAAGTAGTATTTTATATACATATTTTACATTTGTCTAAAAATAATAATTCTTTTGTAAGAGTTAATTTAAGTAATACAGTGACACTATTCAAAGTATTTCAATATATATAATTATCTAAAATATTTTGATTTAAAAATCTCAGCATTATTCAGAAACTGGCAAGTAGTCACCACAAAAAGAAAGCCTAGTCAAATCTTCAAAGAATGCCCAAACATAGCCAGCTTAGCTCTGTTCACAGGGTGGATATTTACTTATTCATTAGTTTAAAGTATGATCTAGAAAGTGACATCCCTAAAAATAGAAATTATATTCAAGCTTCTAGGAGAGAGCAATTAGGATGATGTTCTTTTTGGTTTGGATAAATGTACTGATTCACTGTTTCACTGAACATACAAACAAACATTCAGGGACACACATTTTTATTCGATTTAAAAGCAGAACTTGTTGTAATGTCAAAATTTCCATCTTTCTTTACCACCACCAGAGTGATCTAGAAATCTTTTAAATGTCTGCATTTTCACTTTGATATTGGGAAAATGGTGGTGAAGTAAGATTATGTGTTTGTACATTTGATGTGGCAACTTGATAGGGCTGTGAGATATTTAGTTCTATTATTAAATATGGAATGCAGCTATAAAGATGTTCCTGAATAATTAGGGTTTTCATACATGGATTCATTTCTCCCTCTCCAATGTTGATGGGGGCCCTTCCATCAGTTGGAAAACTGAACAGAAGTTCCGATTCACCCTCTTCCTCCCTGACTGCTTGGACTAGGACACCAGTTGTCCCCTGCCCTCTGTGCGCTTGTTCTTAGGCCTTGAGAATCAGACTGGAATCTATACTATCAGATCGCAAGCTAAGGCAGCTCGAGAACTGTCCACATGATTTGCTTGGGATCTACTTGAAAGACTGGCGAAGCATAATTTTGACTGTGTCTGGGTGGGTCAAAGAGGAGGAGCGTAGGGTCTATATATCGTCCTCACCCTTCCCTCTCTAGCGCTGTTCTCTTGCTTTGCTTCATCATCCCCAAGAACTAAGCAGCTTTGTTCCACCATTCAATTCCACTGTGATGTTTCTCCCTTGAAACTAGTGGATCATAGACTGAAATCTCTGAAACTGTTAGACTAATAAACCACTTTCTCCTTTACATTGGAAGTGTTGGTTTGAACAACAGGAAATACGTCTAACTTACCAGCTCTCCAGACCTGCTCTCCAGCTTTTGAACTACATTGACTTCCTCAAGTCCTCGACGTGCAGACAGAAAATTGGAACACATTCAAGGATCTATAATCCTATTTTATAATACATTTCTCTACCCCCCTCCTCAGTTCACAAATTTAATTATTTCCGTAATTTTGGTCACAAGTCAAACAGGATAAGACAGAATCAAATTTCCACACAAGGTCAACGTTAAACCTAAGCACTTAATTTTGTTCACTTCTTGTCCAATTCTTTGTAACCAGAACATTGAAATAATCAAATTAGTGAACTATGCAACTATTTATAAATATAATTAGTTATGGTAACAGTAGAAATATATAGAATAGATATTTGTCTATATGTAGATGACTCAAGTGCAATGTACAAAATCACACAATGTTCATATTTTTCAGAAGAGGGTAAAAAATGCTTGTCCCATATTTTTCAGTAAAATTCAATCGGTTCACTTATTGTGTCTTTCCTCAGAAAAAGAGTAGGATAATTAGCACCATGTTCCTGAAACACCTCTTTGATATTACCAAGGCTTTTGCCAAGTCAAGTGGGCACTGAACATGTCCCGACCACTCTGTCCACATAATTCTGTCCCGGAATACTGGGAAATAGGAATAATGATGGTAGTGAGCTGTTGCTTGAAATGCTGGTTGTTCAAGGGGATAAAGCCAAGCTCATACTGCCACTGCTTCTGTCAAATGCAAGCTCTTTCTTCTTGCTGTAACCATATCCACAAGAGAGTAATGTGGAATGTCATCCTCCATCTGGCTGCTACTGGACATTGTGAGAAGAGATCACTGTAGAGAAATAAGTGCAAAGAGTCCAAAGGCCACCACTCAACCCTTTTAGTACTTTCTAACATTTGTTCACCTGTCACTACTAGTTCTGCAAAGCAATGCTGCCGTTGGCTGTGGTAGACTAAGTTGCTAGCCTGTCCTAAGTAAAAACCAAACAGCCTCCATGTTGACCCTCTGGTCACCCCATCACCACAGACGCGTCGTTACCCATGACAACGGGTTTGCGTAAAGAAGTGATCTAAGTCATTGCCTAGTAACATTGTGTCATGCTATTGTTACATTCTCCTCCCAAAGTTTATGGCTAACTACTTCCTCTTACAGTTTTGCGGTTTTTGCCTTTATAAACTGCCTGCATCTGCAAATAAATGAGACCTTGACAACTCTTTGCTTGGTCTCCTTCTTTCCGCGCCCCCCTTGTCTCATTTCCAGGTACTTCCCCTTCTCGAGCTCTGCCAATTACTGACCCCGCAGGCCGGGGCAGTTGGCTATGCACCTCCCATGGAATTCCGTACATGGTTTTAGTTGATCTTTCCCTTTTAGTAAATGCCAATTCACCTCACCATTCCTGACAGCAATCTTAACACATCTCCTCCAAGTGTTTGATTGGGGCTTTTGGAAACCTACTCCAGAGCTTGAGCACAACTGGGCTATGGCACTTACACAAATGATTTGATAAGAAATTTATAAATGAAATAAATATGCAATTCTTATTCATTAAGCAGTAACCAATTCAAAGACATTTTCTCTTATAGTCTGAACAGGTGACGTTCTTCAGGGATTGTATTCTTGACTCAGACCATTCTGTGATCACTACTAATTTCACAAACTAGTCAGTAAGCAATGGCCTAGAAGATGAATGAAAATGCTTCATCCATTAAATGACTTCCATTTAATGACTTCCATTGTTTTTTTATAGTGAAGAGAATGCATAGATAATATTTAAGAGGATTTGAATTTAGCTTTCAGCATAGTGGTAGCTAACTCACAATTGATATTATGTATCAATGTCTTTTCTATTTTTTGCTCTGATATATTTAGCTCCTATAAAAGTCATCTCTAGAAGTTATTTGTGAGATAGTTATTTATTCAAAATCCAACAGAACTGACATATCAAAATTTTATATTTTTTCCTCTAAGGTTAATGAATATTTACAAAGTTAATCAAGAATTGATATAATAATTCAGGAAAATCTGGCATACATTTATTTTTTACTTTGAATAATCAAGTTTTTTGCTAACATTCATCAAATTTAAAAAGTAATCACTGCACTATTTATTCCTCACAGTAGAACATGAGGGATTTAAAAATTAACGGAGCACTTTGAGAAAATTCCACAATTGTGTGACCATCATCCGTCAATATTAAAGAAAAAAAAGAAATTTCTACCCTAGAGATGATGCAGCCTTCTTCACAAATCATCATTTCAATAAGGATACTCAGCATGTAGCCCAGTATGGCAACGTGAAGGGTAGAAACAGAAATCACTCAAGCCTCAAGGTGTCCTCAAGGAGCAGGATGTGCAGTCCACCAATCCAAGCAGTACAAATCCGTTACGAACACTATGAACATTAACTTCTCTGTTCCAAGAGAAGAAATAATCAATGACTTTGGTTTCAGATAAATCTTCAACTTATTTCTAATTTAAAAAACAGTCAAGAATTTTTAAAACATCTCCCATATTTTAAGGGCTTTTCAAGTTTCATCCAAGACAAATGTTTCAAGCAATTGATATTTATGACACTTTTAATTTCAAATCTTATGTCACTGTTAGTAGAAAGTCATTAAGAATATTCTTATAGTTTAGTGTAAAAAAGTCGCTAAGAACTTCAGAGGTCATAGGTGAGGGTTTCGGAAGGTGATTGGATGACGGTGGATTATGGTGGATACGGGGTCCTATGAAGAGGCATTCACTGGGGAAGTGGCCCAGAACCATGTAGCATCTTCCCCAGCTCCCTCTCCAAGCTCTTTGATGCCTGGGTACCACAAGCATCCACTCCTCTGCATACCTCTGTGCCATGGAACCCTGCCTTGGAGCCAGGTGCCTGAATATGAGCCAAAATCAACCTTCCCTACTTTCATTTGAGACTGTTGGGTCCATGTGGAAAGTAAAGAAGAGAAATACTAATGGCTTAGAGCTATGATCTAGTTGTTTCTTGCCAAGGTACATTTTAAATGAGTGATTTAGTGAGTTGTATTGTAATTCATAATTATCCTTTTACTAAGATCATGTAACCATATGCTTGTTTTGATGGACAGAATTTAGCCAGTGAGATAAAGAAAAGTCTGACATAGCTTGACACTGAAAACCAGTTTCTGTGAGTAATGAAGGGCAAAGGTAATAAGCGAAAAGAAAAAAAATGAGAAAATGAAAAAATGGAAATGAAGTGTTTGTAAACGGGGAAAGGAGGAGAGGATGGAGGGAGGGGAGGGACAAGGGGAAAAAATGAGAACCAAGACCTGTCATGTAAAGGTACAAGATACCAAGGATGAATGTAACTGTACTGTATACCTAGAATGTATCAATAAACTCAATTAAAGAAAAAGAAAAGCTGAAGGCTAGACTTAATTTACCGAAAAATATCTAGAAAAGTAGTTTTGTAAATATTACCAAACATGCCTGCTGTTTTGAGCCCCAGAAAACTGCCAATTAATGAAGTTTTTATTTACTAATTACTGAATTTTTAGTATAATAATCAACTATATTTTTAATTGAAGAAAAATTGAGGAAAGGAAAATTCTATAGACCTGTGTTCTTAACATTGTCTAATATTTTATTTTCCTATACACATAATGTGTAAAAATAAGTAAAATTTTAATTAAAAGTTAATTTCTCTCTCCTTCCCTCCCTCCATACGTCAATTTTTCTTTTCTTTTCTTTCAATATTGCTATGAAAAATATTAGGCTGTCTTGTTCCTCTCAGAATGAAGAAACTTTCCCTGAAATATTGAATTGCTCAAAGATATAATCATAAATGGAATGCCAGGGTTTGTTCGTGCTGCTAAATTTTGAAACAGAGAAGGAAACATCAAAATATTCTGAAAGTTTAAAAGGCAAGCCCTGTAGTTTGTAGCGGAGTACTTGAAAAAATTTGTTTTCTCCATAAAGATATATGAGAGATCTCTTGTAGATTGTCTTCTGAGTAGAATAGAAGCACAGTGGTAGGACATCAGTTCTCTAACAGGGAGATGTACTCAGTCAGGACAGGGATGAGGAGAATAATACAGTCTCAAGCTGTATCCTCTACTCTGTTATAAGGAACATTTCTTTGTTGTGCCGGGCTGCCTGAAGTATTTAGTGCACAAAATCTTATTTGTTTTCTGATAGTGATGGAGGAAAACAAGGTATATTTAAAAATAAGAGAGGAGCAGGCTATTTACACAGTTGGCTATACATACAGAGAGAAATGGAGAAAAACAGAGAGGTTAGCAGGAAACACCACTTTAGGAAGAATGTTTAGTTCTTTGGAAAGCTTATGACATGGTAAAGTGGGAGATAAAACAATTCTAACTAAATCATAGAGGGCAATGTGTCCCTTTGAAGACACAGAGTTCCTGCGTAACATTAGAGATCTCTTCAAATGTCCTGCACATGAAAATCCACCCTCAACATGCATTTTATTTATATTCATGACTAGACTGAGGCTTATTTATTTTGTTTTCTCATCTGCTTCTTTGTTTCCACGAATGCTTCTAAAATTTATTAAAAACGCTCAAGGATCATGATTTTATTTATTTATTATTATTATTTATTATTATTATTATTATTATTTTCTTTTGGTACCGGGGATTGAGCTCGGGTCCTGGCACTTGCAAGGCAGGCCACCGAACCGCTGAGCTAAATCCCAGGCCCTAGGATCATGATTTTTAAAAGCATTAGGTTACACTATTCTGTGGATATATGTTGTTCAACTACTACTTGTGCACAGCATTAATCATTTATTTTGAATACTTTCTGCAAATAAAGTTTTTGTTTAAATATTTCCTTATGAATTAGCACATTTCTCTAAAATATTTTATGCCTACCACAAAACCTATAAAATGTAAATCCATTTAGCTCTTACAATGTAATATAAATGTCACAGATTATAAACTTGCACTTGTGATATTTTAATTTAATCTCTTTAAGATTACCCATGACTAAAGAAGGTAGATATTCAAGATAGAACTCTTAGTGAAATAGCAAAAATTTATATTATAAGGCTATTAGCATTTAAGTGACACTAGCATTTTGGTTTTTTGTTGTTGTT